AATACTACATCCAGCTGCCCAGCCACTCAACCAGGCTCAGCCAAGTTGACACACAAACTGAACTACCACACTGGCCAAATTCAGGAGACAACATCGTCCCTCCATCAGCAACTTTGAAACTTAACATGTTGCCTCCTTCGACAGCACAAGGTCCGGGCCTCCCTTTGGGGCTCCTGACCACTGAGCCTCCTGAATGGTGCCTTGGAAGCCAGAGGCTTCCCAGACTGTCCCCACATCCTGCATCTCCACCCTCACCCGGGGCCCCTCTCTACCTCCACCCTCGCCTAAGTCTTCTTCACCTTCACCTCTTTCCCTGCCCATTCCTGGAGACCCCCCAATGTTTGGCTGTGGCAGCACTGGGCCATGTGGGGAAAGCCTGGATCCAGGGCAACACACCTTCTGCCTCACCCCGGAACCCCAACCAGCACCAGCCCTGGAAAACCAGAATGGTCCCAGTGCTGCGAGGGTCATACTTGCCTGCCTTCCCAGAGGACAGCCAGGCCGCCCCCAGCGCCTGCTCCTGCACTCACCGACAGAACCGGAGTACTTGCCCCTGGCACTTTTACACTGCGTTATCCCTGGCTATGTTTATTTCACCAACTCGCTGCAGCTGTCTCTCTGCCCCTGGGCACAGCAAGCCTCCCCACTTACAGCCCCCTTGACCTTTCTGCTCTTGTGAATCCATGGGAACAGGCCCCACGGCTGTTTTCCCGGAGTTTTCCCCAGCAAACATGAAGGCTACAGTTTAATAAATGCTCATGTCCAGCGGAGTCACAGATGGTGTCAGCCTCCTGTGGGAGGTGGGGGTCTAGCCACAGACGGACACCAGAGGGCCTCCCAGATGCGCAGGCTGGGTGCCCCCACCCCACTGCAGGCCTCAGCTGGAGCCATGGCTCCCCTGCACCTGTAGCCTCTGTGCCCAGGTCTTTAGAGGGTGGGGTTTATGGGAGCCACACCTCTGCATCCCAGATTACCCTGGATTCACACGTTAACTCACTGCCATCAGGTCAGTCCCGACTCATAGCGACCCCTCCTTGGGTTTCCGAGGCAGTATCTCTATGGAAGTAGATTGCCCAACCTTCCTTCCGAGGAGTGGCTGGTGTCTTTGAACCACCAGCCTTCGGGTTAGCAGTCAAGTGCCTTAGGCACTACGCCACCAGAGCTCCCACACATAGGCGTGGGAAATTGTACATAGAGGTCCCAGGCATTCCTGCCTCCCCCACTACAACATCTTACAAAATCTTTAATATAAGATCCTAATCAGGATATGGACATTGATATGATCTACCGATTCTACTCAGACTCCCTAGTTCTCCATGTGCCCTGGTGTGAGAGTGTGCATGTTGTTGTTGTTATGTACCGTCGAGTCGGACCGACTCATAGTGACCCCTCCTTGGGTTTCCGAGGCAGTATCGTTATGGAAGTAGATTGCCCCATTTTCCTTCTGAGGAGTGGCTGGTGGGTGCATGCGTGTGTATAAATGAGTATGGGAGCATATGTGAGTGTGTGTGTTTGTGAGTGTGTATCAGTGTGAGGATGGATAAGTGTGTGTGAATGAGTGTGGGAGTCCCTGTGTGGGGCAAACGGTAGACACACTCAGCTACTAAGTGAAAGGTTGATGGTTTGAACCTACCCAGTGGTGCCTTGGAAGAAAAGCCTGGTGACCTGCTTCTGTTAAGATTCTAGCCAAGAAAACTCTACGGAGCACAGCTCTACTTTGTAATATACCTCACCTAAAACAAACTCACTGTCATCAAGTCAATTCCGACTCATAGTGACCCCTATTGGGTTTCTGAGGTGGTAAACCTTTACAGAAGTAGATTGCCCCATCTTCCTTCTGCTGAGTGGCTGGAGGGTTTGAACTGCCAAACTTCTGGTTAGCAAATGATTCAGGCACTGTGCCACCAGAGTTTCTCGTAATATATACCTACTCCTCACTTACAGACTAATGTCTTGTCATTTGGCGTTTCACAATTATAATAGTAAAAAATCTGGTTAAATAGCCTTAAAGCCAGGTAAGGACCTGTGTGTTTTTGAGTGAGAGAGTGCCTCCCTCCTGTGCCACAAGTTCTTGATCCCTCCTATCCCACCCCTCTCCCCAGTCTTGAATGCAAATAAAGTTAAAAAAAAAAAAAATGGCTGGAAGCTGGGACCTCTGGTAGGTTGGTGGCAGCCGTAGCTGGAGAGGAAGATATGGCTTCAGGTTGCTAATCTGGAAGGAAACAGAAAGGCACAGACAGGATGCCTGTCGGTCACTTTGCTGCAAACCCTGAGATGCACCATTTGTGCACTTGGGGACACTGATGGGGTGGACATGGGGTCACCCAATGGCAGCTGGTTTCAATGAGCATGTGTGAGTGTGTGTCTTCCCAGACATCTTGACACCCTGACCCAGGGTTGCCCCAACTCACAGCTCACACTTTCTTAGCCTCCTATTGCCAGGCTCACTGCCAATGTAAACCCAGTGGGGAGCCCAAAAAGGCCCCCTCTCCTACTACAGTCTGCACCCCATTACTCCAACACAGCATTGCAGGTAGCTCACACTGTTGGGGTGGATGGGCTTATGGTTGCTCAGCAGACAGGGGCACTGGGGAAGGAGGTCATAGGTCTGCAGATCCCAGCACCGGAGCCCTCAGCACCCACCACCCATCCCACCTAGTCCCCAGGGAAGTTAACATGAGAAGTCAGCCAAAAGTGGATTAAGGGAGAAAGGTGAAGTCTCCGGGGCCTTGGAGACAGACATAGGAGGTAGAGGCTGGCCCCTGTCATCCCCATGACAGATTCACTGTTTTGAAGCCCCATTAGGGGATTTGTTTTTGTTATTTATTGTAGTGAAAACATACACACCAAGACATTCACCAGCACAGCTTCCACAATTACAGTCCAATGCCATCGATCACATTTTTCGTTGTGCCACACGCATTAGCACTATCCTCATTGAACACAGTCCACCAGCAGGAGGGCTCTGTTTTGATCCCACAGGAGATGTCCCAAACCCTGGGCCCACCCCAAATTTGGAACCCTGGGTTGCTGGGGAGGAGAGCAGGCCTGAGGGGAAACGAGTGGGCGGCACCTAGGCCTTCTCCAGAGCAGGGTCCTGTAGAGGGCCAGGGGGCTTCGTCTGTCGGGAGGGGGCTTAACCATAGCTAGTCCCAGAGACCTCAGGGGTCTGGCCAGCCCGGGGGGTCCTCCTGGTCTGCAGGTCTTGCTGTTCCGGAAGTCTGGCGGGTCTGGGGCTCTGTAGTATCTGCAGGGCAGTCATACCAGCGAGGTAGAGCGGGTGCCGGTCCCTGTGCCGCCCTCATCCCCTGAGGCCTTGGAGGCCGTGGCAGCGTTTCTAGGCGCCAGGCGGCAGAGAGCCCTGCCAACCTTTTCCCGGAACTCAGCGGACACGTAGTAGTAGACGAAGGGGTCCACGCAGCTGTTGAGGGTGCTGAGCGCCAGGCTGGGCAGGTAGGCGGCATAGAGGTCGCCCCAGGCGTGCGGTGCCGGGTCCGAGTAGTGCAGTAGCAGCAACACGTTGCTGGGCGCGAAAAAGGCCAGAGCGGAGACCAGCACCAGGGCCGCCAGGCGCCATGCGTGACTGTAGCGCCGGCCGCTGGTTGCCAGAGCGCGCAGCGTGGCTCCGTAGCACAGCGCCATGGCCAGCAGCGGCACGAAACAGCCGAGCAACGCCAGGCAGGTGAAGGCGGGTCGCCAGTGCGAGACCTGCGCGCCGAGTGGCAGCACGTCATGGCACAGCAAGCGGCCCGCGTCCGCGCCGCCCAGCCAGAAGGTCTGTCGTTGCAGCGCCAAGGGCAGCGCCAGAGCGGCAGCAGCCAGCCAGGCGGCGGCGCACAGCCCCGTGGCCAGGGCCCGGCCGCGCAGGGAGCGGGCACGCAGCGGGTGCACCACCGCCAGGTAGCGGTCAAGGGCGATAGCTGCCAGCAGCAGCAGTGAGCAGTACATGTGGCCGTAGAGTGTGACTGTGGCCAGGCGACAGGCGGCTTCACCGAAGGGCCAGCGCTGGCCACGCAGGTGGTAGGCGATGCGCAGCGGCAGCGCCAAGCCTAGTAGTAAGTCGGCGGCCGCCAGGTTCATGAGCAGCAGTGTAGAGGGCAGGCGCGGCACGCTTGTGGCTAGCACCCACAGCGCCAGGCCATTGGCCGGCAGCCCGAGCGCCAAAGCCAGTGTGTAGAGCGTGGGCACCAGGCGCGTGGACACCCAGCCCAGCAGCAGGGCCTGTGAGCTGTTGGGCAGTAGCAGGGTGTCACTGTTGTTGGGGCAGGGGCGGCCTGGGAAGCTGCGTGGGAAGGGCAGGGGCTGGACTGTCGCCTCTGCTGCAGGAAAGGGCTTCTGCGTGCCTCCTGTAGGGAGAGTGGTGACAGCCACCACAGGAGGGAAGGGGATGAGTGCCAAGCGCCAAGGACACAGAGCTACACCAGAGACTAGCATCAATTCCTTCTGTCCCCTTTCCTGGGGACTCTACCTAGTGTCCCACCCCCCGTTACCCCACCCTAAGCTGATACCCTTAGCATCAGCCCTGGACTGCTCCACTGGCTTCCTTCTATTTGTTCCTTGTGGCACCCCTTGTGTCTGCTCTTGGTGACATCCTGATGTCTGTCCCTGGTATCCACCCAGGACCCCTCAACTGCCCTCCGGGTGTCCCCACTCCTGTTCACCTCTAGTTACACCCTGGTATCTGTCCTTATGTCCCCCTGGATCCTGGAGCTACCCCTTTGTGTCCCCCTCAGGCCCCAGAGCCACCTCATGCCCCTCTTGCACCCCTTGTCCACACCCCTTAGCTACTCCCCTGGTGCCCACCCTTGTGTCCACCTCTAGTGAATCCCTAGTATCAAGTGTTGCCCTTGGTTTGCCTGCCCCCCCATGAGCTCTCTAGTATCTGCTGGGAAGAGCCAGCCCAAGGGGGTGCATTGCAGTGGAGGCCCCAGCTCTCAGGGTATAGATACTCCCACCCCCATTGGGTTAGGGCTGGGGTGGGCAATGGGGCTGAAAGGACCCCATTTCCTCCCTGCCCCCTCAGCTCTGGGCCCCATCCCCCTTGGCTTCTCCATGTGCCCTTCACTCACCAACAGCCCCTCCTGCATTCCTGTCCTCAGGGGTCTCCTTGTAGACGCCGGGGGTGCAGATGCCACCAGCAGGGCTGAGCCCCAGTGCCAGGGCCCCAAGCAGCAGGAGCCCCCACATGTCACTGCTGATGGGTTTGCTGCTCTGGGCCCCTCAGCTTCCTGCTTGAAGACCCCCACCCCAGCTTCCTGCCCCGGCCCCTGAGGGTGGAGGGCTGGGAGATAAAGCAGGAAGACCCCTTCCTGTCCCCTGCCCCAGTCCTGCCTGAGGGAGGCCCAGGTCGTAGCTGAGGAGGCCTGGGCAGACCAAGGTCACTCCGCCTAGCTGAGGCTCCTCACAGGGCTCAGAAAGATGGGGGGGGGGGGTGCTGCCCTGGGCTGCTGCCCCCTTTTCACCTCCCCTCAGCCAGGAAGCATCTGTAGTTCAAGTCGCCACTTCCTGATCGTCACTCATGTCTCCAGCCCCAGTTTGCATGACAGCCCTGTCCGCCAGGCCCACTCCTGCATCAGGGGCCCTTCCTGCAGCCTCTCCTCCCCCCTGCCCCAGCCCTGGGCTGGAAGTCAGCAAGGGGAGGGATACCTCCGGCACCCAGTCCTCTGGGGGGTGGGCTCAGCACCGTCTCCTGGGCAAAGGGGAAAGTGAATGAAGGAGTAGGGGGCACCTGGTGAGTCAGAGGTCTGCTGAGGAGAGAGAGTGAAGGGGGCCTGGGTCTTAGCTGGAGTCACTGACCCTGACCATGTGCTGCGCTAGGGTGTGAGGAGACCAGGCTCTTCAAACCCCTGTCATGGCGCCACCGTCAGCCCCACCCCCAGTATGGTAGGGTGTTTACAGCCAGACCCCAGCCCAAGGGAGACCTTTCCTCCTCCTTCCCTCACCCAGGAGTCCTTCCATCCTGCTGGACAGGCTGCTGTGGGGACATGACATGCATTACCTGGTGTTTGTGGGGGAGCGCACCCTCTGTGCGGATAAAGAAACAGAAGCTTTGAGGGTAGGCACTTTTTCTCGCTTCTGCCCACAACCTTCCTGGCTGCCCCTCCCCGCCCTGGGAGTACCCTGTGGTCAGGGCCAGGCCATAAGGGAGGACTGGGGAAGGGGGGCAGGAGGGCCCAGCCTGTGGCAGTGTTGGTCTGGGGTCAGAGGGAGCTATTTTCCCTCAGGGAAGCCCTAAAGTCACACATCCAGGGACATGGAGACCAGCCAGGAAGTGATGAAGCAGAGTCCTGGACATTGGCCAGCGCGGCATCCGCCTCCGCCAGCCCGGGGGGAGGGCCCTGCCCCCAGCTCCGGGGAAAACTGAGGCCAGAGAGGTCCCTGGGTCCTTGGAAGATGTTTGCATCCACACTGACGACAAACTCAGCTCAACCCAACTCTTGCAGATACATGTAACCAAAGACACCCCCAGTTGGGACCCCTGCCACCTTCCATGTAGGTGAGGTGGGGCATTGATGTTCCCACCCTCTGACTCCAGGCCCCCGGGTCTGGAGCTTTATCCTGGATGTCCATGGGAGAAGGTTTGTATAGGATATTTCCGCAGCATAAATCGGGGTGCACAGCCTCTGCATCAGGGATGGCACTGTGCCCTGGGGGAGAGGACCCCCCACACAGCAGGGAAGGTGCAGAGGCACTGGGACCAAAGCGCCCCACTTGGGTGACACGTCAGTGTCCAGCCTCTCCTGCCCCCAACACTCTGGGCACAGAGTGGGGCTGCCTGTGGGGAGGACTTTTTGTTTGTTTGTGCTGCTGGGGTTTCCTGAGCCCCAGGATGCGGTTCATGTGAGTGTCCGAGGCATGCTGTACAAAGTACCACATACTGGGGGTTTTCAGAGAAGAAATCTATTTGCTCTCAGTTCTGGAGACCAGAAGTCCAGAATCCAGTTGTTGGCTGGGCTACGATCCCTCTGGAGGTTATAGGGAATGATCCTTCCTTGTCCCTTGCAGCTTCTGGTGGACCCAGGAGTTCCTGGGCTTGTGGCACCACTCGGATCTCTGCCTCCGTTGTTACGTGGCCTCCTTCTCTGTACCTGTATCTGTATCCAAATGTATATCTTTTTATAAGGACACCAGACATTGAATTTATGGCCACCCATCCAACTCCAGTACTACTACAACTTAACTTAATTACAACTGCAAAGACCCTTTTTGCAAATATGGTCACAGGGTAGGATGTGAACGTATCCTTTTGGGGACACAATTCAAGCCATGACACGGCTCATAAAAAAAAAAAAAAACAAAAAAACAAAAAAACACCTCAGGCAAACAGACGGATTTGGCGGTTCAAGCTGGATTTCCTTGCTCTGGAGACCCACCCAGCACCTACCCGTTCCCCAGTACCTACAGTCTGGAGGGAGTTCTGGTGGTGTAGTGTCTAAGGCATTTGACTACTAACCAGGAGACTAGTGGTTCAAACCCACCAATCACTCATTGGAAGGAAGATTGGGCAATAATCTACTTCCGCAGAGACACTGCCTGGGAAACCCAAGGAGGGGTCACTAGGAGTCAGAAACGACTCCAGGGTAGTGGGTTTGGTTGGTTTTTTAGTCGAGGCCTGGAAAAGCCACGGCCCCTCGCGGCCCCGCCCCTCTCCAGGCCCCGCCCCCTTTCCCGGCCGGGTCCCGCCCAGCCCCGCCGAAGCCCTCCTCGGCCTCTCCCCCTATTTAACTTGGGTTCAGACCAAGTCCTGCCTGTGACCTCTCCCCGAGCCCTGGCCCGCTCCCAGCCCCTCCCTGGGTCCCTCTGGCTTCGGTAGAAAGATCTGGACTTGGAGGAGTTGGCCTATTGAGTCCCTGGAGCTCTCCAGTCTCCCCCGAGTGTCCCTGAGAAAACAGCTCCTTCCGTTCTGTGCTGTGGCTGAAGCCGCATGCGCGCCCGCAGTGTGAAGCTACCGTGTGTCCAGTCCGACTCCTCTAGGGGCTGCTAATCGGGGGGCTTCAGCTCTGGGCAGAGTTGCGTCAACCCCTTGACCACTGGAGAGGAGGAGTGTGACCCCGTTTCAGTGAGGTTGGAGGACAGCCCTTGGTCACACGAGTTCTGGCTATCAGGTGCTCCTTTCCCGAGTCTGTGTGCCCCCGCCTCCAGGACCTTCGCCACTCCCCACCCCCCACCCCGAATTCCAAGGCCGGCGGTCCAGCAGCCAGTCCCCTGCAGGTTAGTCACCCACACGCTCGGCCCACTGACTCGGGTGACCTCGCTTTGTAAAACTCACGTCACTAGGATTAGGAACGATGTCTACCGGGTACACTTAGTGCTCTATCCTCTTACCCCAGCCTCCCGCGAGGGGTCGCGAGCTCCCAGGGAGGAGGGGCACCCACCAGCAGGTACCCACCTGCAACTCCAGAGCTCGTCCGTGGCCCAGGAATCCCTCTCAGGTGCAGGCTGGGGGCTCCGGAGACGGTCCCCAACTCTGGGGGCACAGAAGGTGGGGAGACTGGGGCTCGAAACCCCCCCACCCTCGACCAATGAAGCAGGTTGGAAGGGAAGGTACAAACGTTAGGCAGCATTGGGGTGTGGGGTTCTCTCCCTTATCAGTACCTAAGGAATCCCCGTGGAATACTTCTACTCTGACCCACATGGGGTCTCGAGCCAGAGTGGACTCCACAGCAGCTGGCAGGAGTCCTTGAGTGGTTCGATTGGTGAAGATGGCAGCTGCTAATTGAGTCCACCAGAGGAGCCTTGGAAGGCCTGGCGACTGCCTGCCAGAAACTCAGCTATTGCAAACCCTGTGGAACAGCTCTTCTCTAACCTACACGGGGTTGCCATGGATCGGAGCTGACACAATGGCAGCCTAACGAATTCCCACAAGCTTGGCAGTGTCAGGCAACACATTATCTTTAAGTTTCTGTGGGGGACAGCTGGACACACAGGGCTGGCAAGGGAGACATGCCCCACCTGGAGGAGCCCAGCCAAACTCCATAGTAATACATCAGGATCCAAAGAGCCAATATCCAGGTGGGAGGAACCGGGTCAGCCCTACTTAGTATAGGAATGGTCTAGGAAACAGGCCCATGATTCCCCTTGAATGTAGGGTGTGTGTGTGTGGGAGGCACACTCTGGGGACAGCGGACAGGCATTTAGGCAAGACTACCTTGGGGAAGCCTGACTTTGCCACCTAGAAATGGAACCTACCCGCTGCTGGGGACGGGCAGCATGTGGGTCCCCCCAAACAACACACACAGGGCTTGTGGCAGACTCGCAAGACTCCCTCCAAGAAAATGACAGGCAGAGCCTCTCAGCTTTACATCAATATTTAATTTTTAACTTTAATGTGCAAATAAATAGAAAAGGAAATGTACATTCAAAACAGCTGCAAAGGAAGTATAAGCCCCAGGACGGAAAGTGTCCAGGAGGGGCAGGTGCCCCTCGAAGCATGCAGGGTGGGGCGCCCCCTCCCACCTGCTCCACCCCCCAGCTCCAGACAGACAGAGAGAAGGGGTGGCACAGTGGGGGCACAGCTGGCAGAGGGGCTGGTGCAGGAATTTTGATAATAAACTCCCTTCTTATAAAACCAGGGTGTTCACAAAGTGCTGGATTACACTCAGGAAAACGGGCAAGGAGACCTCGGGCGGGAACGCACTGACTTTGGAACTTCCCAGGCCTTGAGTCAAAGGCATCGCAAGTTCCACAGGAAACCAGAAATCCGTCTCTGCTTCCTGGAACCACAAGTTTGGCACAGCTCTGCTGCAGGAGGTCGAGGGCTAGGGAGCCAATTCCAGCATGACAGTACAAGGCGTTCAAGGAGCTGGTCCCAGCCCCACCACGTGGAGCTCTTGGCACCGAGCCCTGGACATCTCCACAACCGTCGCTAGAGCCCTTCAGGCCCACACCCTCACAGGAGAGAACAATGAGTCTGTGGGAACAGCTGGGGGCCCCTCCTCAGAGGACGAGGGCTTTAGGAAGGGGCAGGCACACACAGTCGCCATGGGCTGGGCACAGGGCTGGGCTACTGAGGAAGCCACACGGCGGAGAGAGCATGAAGAAATAAACACGCGTGTGCTTCTCTGTCTTTCTAGGAGATCCACTTTAAGTACACCACAGGGCAGGGATGCTGGCCCAGCCCCTGGTTTACAGTCTCTCTCATAGAAAGTAGAATCTTCTGGAAGTTTCGGCTGCTGGGCACAGCAGGCCAGCTGCTGAGAGCCAACGCCGCCGCCCCCTTATGCCTAGGCATGACTGTGATTGGGGCCTCTCGCTGTTCAGAGTCTGAGGACTCCATATGGTGCCAAGCTCAGCCCCACAGTCGTCTGGTGTCTCATCCTCGCAGTGTCTCATCACCCCTGATGTTTCCAGGATGGGGTCCCCTCCAGGTGCTCAGGTGCAGGCAGATCAGTTTGGCACAGGCTGGGCCCCAGCTTGGGGCAAGTCACTGTGGAGACACCCACGTGGCGTGCTCTGGGGGATGTCAGGGCGAGGCAGGGCGCCGGCTGTACTGCACGCGGTAGCGGGTCACAGGGAGCCCATGCACACGCACAGTCTCGCACAGCGTCTTGCATGGCACCAGGTCCTCATCCTCCTCACCCATCAGCCAGTCCTGCACCAGGCTGGCCGCCTCCACTGGCACGTGGTCCTCCAGCCAGCGCCCATGCCATGCCTCGAAGTGCCGGTGGTGCCGCAGCAGCACCAGGGGCTGCACCTGCAGGGGTGGGGGCAAGGGGCAGGGCAGCTAAGTACCCCAGCGTGTGGGCGGGACCCCAAAGACCTCAGCAGGGAGGGTAGGGGAAGCTGGACAAACATGGGCAGGATTCTGGGACCCCAGGATGCAAGCAGGGGTTGGGGGAGGATGGATCCCAGGGGTCCCCAGGGGTGGGGCACCTGCTTGGCACGGCCCAGGGCGCCACGGCGGTACATGTAGTCCTCTGAGTTGACGATGAACATCATCTTGTGGGTGCTGAGCCGGAAGCGGCAGTCCACACTGCAGGCGCTCTCCACGCCCACCAGCCGCTTCCACGTGCCCTTGGCCTCACCACGCAGTGCTCGTACCTGTGCGCACTGCCACCGCCGGAACTTCCGGAGGTTCCTGCACCAGGGATACGCTCGAGAGGTGGTGCTGGGCACCTGCCTACAGTCCCCCACCCAGAGGAGGCTCCTGCCTAGAGGAGGCTCCAAGTAACCTACAGGGAGCAAGACTGGGGTCTACAGGCCAGGGGGCGTCATGGCCACAATGTATGAAAAACGCCCAACCCCAGGAGTCAGACATAAACTAAAAGTACAACCTCCAGCCCAGGCAGGACCCACCAGTGCCCCTGCCTTACTTGGTTCCCCACCAACCCCCAGCTGTCCTACCTGCCCCTGCTGTGGGCATGTCCTGTCCCACCTGTCTCTGCTCTGAGGGAAACGGGGCCCAGACTTCCTCCATCTCAGCACCCCTCTGCATTGTGACTACACCCCTAATGCCTTCGCCTGGTCTCAGACACCACCACCCTCTCCTCACTCATAGCAGGGGTCCAGACCCTCAGCTGTCCCTTACCAGCACTCAGCCCCTACTGGATCTACATACCTATCTAGCTCCCGTGAATCTGGGTCCCAAAGCCACCTTCTTAGCAGGGCTGCAGACACCCCAAGACCTGTGCCTTTGGTCTGATCCCTCTACTTCTAGTAGCTTCTCCTTCAGGTCTCTGAAGCCCTGGGCTGAGCATATCCTCCCCAAGAGCCCCTAGGCCTTTCGTCACCCAGAGACCACCACTGTGGGGGTTCCTCTCACCTCTGCAGGAACACTGGCTTCAGCAGGAAGCCCTCGCTTGGGGAGCTGGCAGTGCCCTCTGTGCCCACGTACTGCTCCACGTAGCTGGACAGGTGCTGCAAGGTGGGGAGGACAGCATAACTCCCCACGCCGGGGCATGGCCCCTTACTGTGGAAAATCTCCCATGGCCTCCCCTTGCAATGTTCACCCTGAAGGTACAGTGTGACAGGGACGTTTTGGGGGCCTCACACTGACCTGCACCTCCACGGGGTCGTCTGTCTGGGCCTCCTCGGTGTCTAGAAGCTCAATGGTCATGATCACCTGCCCTTTGCGCTGGAGGAACATCACCTGGGGGCAGGGTCACATTAGCCACCTGAAGTCCTCAGAACAGCGCAGCTCAAGGGACCGCACCTCCCAGGCCTCCACACCTCCGATAGCCTCACGTACATGTGACCAGAGCCACCATCCCACCAAATGGGAGGCCAGGGGCTGGGCACAGGGTGCACATGACGTCCACATGATCAGATAGGTCTGACTCCAGCCTTTTGCTTGGGCCCTTCCTCACTCTCGGACCCCTGCTCCCCACAACTCCTGCCCACCTTGAAGCAGTTCTCATCAGCCATGCACCGCTCAGCCCGCCACTGGTAGCTGGTCTCACGGGCAGCACGGACACATCGTGAGGACAGGTTCCCACCGGCAGCCCCACGCTTCTTCTCATTCAGGTAGAGCTCCACCACCTTCAGACACACGTCATCGCTCACCAGGTGGTGCAGCTGCGGGGAGGGGGAGAGGGTGAATGCCCAGCATACTTGTTGGGAAGCCTACCGCCTTACCTCCTGTGGGAATGGGAGGGGTAGGCAACAGAGACAAGAAACATGTCACAACAGAACAGGTGTATGCCATGAGATGTAGATCAGTGACCCAATCAAGCTGCACAGGTTAGACCTCAGCAGCCTAACACCCCTCCAGACATCTGACCTGACCCAACTCCAACCATCCAACCCAACCCCAACCTGACCCAACCCAAACCCCAACCAATCCAACCAACCAACCTGACCTCAACCCAACTCTAATCCAACCAACCCAACTCCATCCCAGACCCAAAACTGATCTAACTCAAAACTCAACCCCACCATAACCCCACCCCAATCCTACCCCAACCCCAATGTTGCCCCCAATGCAACCAAACCCAACTGCACGTGTGAGAAGCACAAAAATTAGAAATGATGTTAAAAGACTGGGAACAGTAACCCTCTATAAGTGGTGCTGTTATGGATACTTAGCTTTCTATTCAACTACAAAGTGTATTTTAATCCCATCCGTATGTTTCTATTTCTGAAGATATGAGCATGGACACAGCAGGGCTGGGTCAGGCAGAGCCACGGGCTTTGGCCAAGTTAGTACAAACTCAGGGACTCAGCACTCCCATAAGATGGCACCCACACACACAGCCTGAAATTCCCAAGGCCACCCCCAGAGCGGTAGCCCGCCCAGGATGCCTAATCCAGGGGCCCAGCTTGGGCCTGAGGTGCCAGAACACAAGTCCTCTTCCGGCGTGTGCTTACAACCAGAAGACACAGAGCCCACTGTCAACCAGAAAGAAGCCACACACCAGGAGAGGGCAGAGGCTGGGAAAGTGGGGGCGCCCGAGGCTCGACAGGGCTCAGCCCTGGGAACTGCTGGGAATGGGCCACATGGGCTGCACCGTGAACTACCCCCCATTTCTTGCCACCAACTCAGCTGACAGGTCCCAGCATAGACGCCCCGGTCATGAGGGTGTGTACCCGGGAGATGGGCAGCCTCCCTGAGGCTGGCCCAACAGGCCCTGATCCCCTCATGTCCTGAGCTGTGTCTCAAGCACAGTACTACAGGTGTGCAGCCCCACCGCCCACCACCCCATGTCTCTGTGAGCAACATCCTCCTGTGGGTGCTCTACTCTGCTCCATCTGTGATTCCCCAGGAAGAGTCAAGACTTTAACATGTTGTCAAGTGCCCTCAAGAAAGGTCTGTCAACAGGGAATCCAACAGATACCTTACATAAATGTTCACAGCAGCACTAGTCACAACAGCCAAAAGGCCAACTCAGCCTATCCATCCACAGATGATGGATAAACACAATGTGGTCGTCCACACAGTGGACTGTAACTTAGCCATAAGAAGCACTGAGACATGCTACAAGGTAGACGGACACTGAAGACATTACACTGAAGAAGCCAGAACAAAAGACGTGTTATGGCTGGTCTGACAGAGCCCGGTGAGACCCCTGAAACTATGGCCCCTAGCTACCCTTCAGGTCTGGAATTGAACTCAACTCCTGTGGCTTCCAGCTAAACAACAGAGAATAGTGGGGTGCACATTTACATCAGCTAGATACACTCCTTGGAGCGATCAATCATGGGAGAACAGAAGGGTAGTATTTGCCCAGGGAGACAGCTTGCAGGGGTGGGAGTGCATGGGAGGGAAGGGCACAGGGGAGAGATAACTAAGGGAAGGAAATGGGGAGAGAGCTGTTACACTGTGGGGAACTACAGTCAGTATCATGAGACAAAATGTGTATGAACTGCTGTATGGAAACTCAATTTGCTCTGTAAATATTCACCCATTATGTGATTAAACACACACACAAACAAAATAAAAAAACAAAAAAACACATTATGATTACACTGACATGAAACATCTAAGATGAAACATCTGTTGTTGTTGTTGTTGTTATGTGCCGTCGAGTCAGCCCTGACTCATAGCGACCCCGCCTTGGGTTTCCGAAGCAGTATCACTACGAAGTAGGATTGCCCAACCTTCCTTCCAAGGAGTGGCTGGTGGGTTTGAACCGCCAGCCTTCTGGTTAGCAGTCAAGTGCCTTAGCCACTATGCTACCAGAGCTCCCAGTAAGATGAAACATCTAAGATCAGCAAATGCAGAAACCAAAGGTTAGCAAGGGAAGGAGGGGGAGATGGTGACTGTTGAAGGGGGCACTGGGCTTCTGTTTAGGGTGATGGAAGATTTTTGGAAACAAATAGCGGTAATGGTTGTACAATATGTAATTAATATCACTGAACTGTGTATGAAAAAATGGTCAAAAAACCAGAAATGCTATAATTTACATGTTGTTGTTGTTATGTGCCATCGAGTCAGACGGACTCACAGTGACCCCTCCTTGAGTTTCTGAGGCACTATCGTTATGGATGTAGATTGCCCAACCTTCCTTCTGAGGAGTGGCTGGTGGGTTTGAACTGCCAGCCTTCTGGTTAGCAGTCAAGTGCCTTAGGCACTATGCTACTAGAACTCCTGTAATTTACATAGTAAGATTTATAAAAAGTAAGGAATGAAGTCCTGATACATGTTAGCACATGGATGAACCTTGAGAATACATGGAGTCAAAGAAGCCAGCCAAAGAGTGTGTGATTCTGTTTACAAACAAGCAAATCCCTAGACAGAAAGTGGATGTGTTGTTGCTGGGGGCTGGTGGAGGGGTGAGTGACTGCTAATGGCTCTCCCTGTGGGGGTAGTTAAGAATGTTCTGGAACCGACAGGGGGGCTGCATACACCGTGAATGTACTAAACGCTGATGCATTTCCCCCTTTAGAATAGTTTTACGTTGAATCTTACCTCAATTAGAGAGACAGAGGAGGATGGGGGCACCAGCAGCCCCAGCCAAGTCACTCACCTGCCGCGCGATGTTCTGCACTAGTTTATCCATGGTGAAGCCAATGTAGGCATGGATGGTGAACATCTCACGCAAGGTGTCCTCATACTGCGTGGGGTCGATGTTCCCCTCCAGCAGGCTCCGCACCATGTCCAGGAAGGCTGGGTAGTACTCCTCCAGCTCCACCTCACCTGGGGGAGGACAGCTGCCCTTCAGAGCCTGGACCCCCAACACTGCCGCACCCTGCAGGCCTGCTCAAAGCAGCTGGGCCTGAGACAGCCTGATGAGCCTGTGGTCCTCAAGGCTCTAAGCAGCAGCAGCCCTGTCCATCCTGCCCCTCCACCATAGCTGGGCCACGCAACTCGGGCCTTGCCCATGGTGGTGGTGGTGACGTGATCAACACCTAGGACATGGGAACTTAGGCTACACTTTGCCCAGGTGGAAATGGTGACATGACCAACAACTGGGACAGTGCCCAGAGCTGTGCAAGCAGGGGAGATGGCAGACATGGACATGGCCCACCCTCAGCCCATAGGATGGCCTAGGCCAAGGCCTTGGTCTGACCCTGCACTGCAGCAGGAAGGGGCCGCTGCTGTGCGCTGGGGGAGGATGCACATGCCTCTCTCTACTACCTGCAACCTCCTACACATCAATAATGACCTCAGAGAAAAGTTAGACAAATCCAGGCAGGATGGTTCTGATATAAGCTACAATAGTAACAAGGGTGTCCTGGTACCCTGGAGACGTATTCTGCCCCAGCCCTCTATCCGTCTACCTATCGTCCCCCGGCCCCTGCCCCCTGGCTCACTGGGCTGCTTCAGCCGCAGCTCCATGGCCGGGTCGCTGCTCCGCTCGCGCCGACCCTCGCACAACAGTTGCTCGCGCTCCTTCTCGGCCCGGTACTCCAGCAGCTGCTTTTGCGCCTGGCGGTAGAGCTTGAGCAGCCGTGCACAGAGAGTCTGGTGCAGGCGCAGGAAGAAGTACCAGTTGTTGTTGGCGAAGAAGAGACTGTAGACATCATCCAGGGGCATGGGCTGTGGCCCAAGTGCCAGGCCATCCCCGGGAGGCCCTTTCTCCTCTGGAGGGCCACTAGGAGCTCCAACGCGCTTCCGCTCACCAGGCTCTGTGCCTGGGCCCCGGGCGCCCTCACGGTCCTCTTCAGCTGACTCCTCAGAGGCACCGGGGTCCAATGGCTGTGAGAAAAAGAGGCTGGGTACGAACTGGTGCAGCAACTGCTGGATGGTGGCCTGGTCCTCTTTCTGGATGGCTGGCTGCCGCGCCACATAGTAGCTGACCAGGGCCGCTGCATCCTCCAGGATCTGCCGGTCCTCGTACACAAAGATGAGGTGGGGCTCGCTGGCGGGGGCGCTACGGCCCTCTGAGTGCTGCTCCTGGTGCTGGGCGGCAAGGAGACAGGGGCGTTAAGGCAAGCAGGAAGCCAGTGACAGGGAGGACCCCAAAGCACAGAACTGCCATGAGCGTGGATGCCACCACGATGGCCACCAACACAACCTTTATAGACAAACAGAGGACAGTGAGAGAAACACACAGAAAGAGGGTGACAGAGAAAGGCAGAGGGACAGAGAGAGTAACAGAATGAGACACAGATAAAATGAAAGAGACTGAAACAAAGACAGAGACAGACAGCAAGCTAGCATCTCTTGTGGACAGTCACGTGGCCCTTCTGGGCGCTGGCTCCAGGCTGGGGCTCACACCCATGGCCCCTCGTGCCCAGCCCTGTGTGAGTGCTGTTGCTTGTGTGCATTGAGCAGCTGAGAAGGTAGAGGCCCACCTCATCGTAGACACTCTCGATCTCATTGAGCAGGCTCTTGGAGCGCAGAGCTTTGGTGTCATTCTGCTTGAAGTTCACGGCCTGGTGGTCGAGGGACTTGAGGTAGGCCTTCTCGTACTGCTCCCGCCACACCTTGTTGAAGCCCCGCTGTGCCTCCCGCCATTCCTCCTCCTTGGCTTTCAGCCTGTGGGGGGTAGGGATGGGCGTGGTCAGAGAGGGCCACACCTGTTCTCATGCATAACCTCTCTTGCTGGTGCCCACCCCACAGGACAACCATGGCAGTTGATGGTTTTTCTCCTATCACCTCCTCCTGAGACCCTCCCTGTCCCAGCCTGGTGCTGACACTGTTCCCCAGGTGCTAACAGCTCCTCACCAAACCGAGCACCACTCAAGGGAAGGGGCCATGTCTGCCTCATTAGGGCCGGCCTATAACTGACACCTACTTCCCAAAGAGGAATGTGCTGCAGGGTGTATTACTGCCTAAGGCGTCTGACTGCTAACCAGAAGGTTGGTAGTTCAAACCCATTAGCTATTCGGCAGAAGGAAGATGGGGCAAAGATTTATGAGCTCAGAAACCCAATGGGGGTTGCTATGAGTCAGAATCTACTTGACGGCAGTGAGTATCATTTGGTTTGGAGTTTGTAGAGTGGAGAGAAAAACTGTGGATACCTATACAATGGAACATCATTCAGTCATTAAGAGAAACAAGCCATCAAAGCACAAAAAGAGGTGGAGGAACCGTAAATGCACGCCACTGAGTGACACAGTCCATCTGAAAAACCTACACACTGTATGATTCCAACTGCAGAATGTTCTGGGAAGGGCAAAAGTACAGACAGTGAAAGGATCAGTGGCTCCCAGATGCTCAGGGGGAGGAGGGATGGGTGGGGGGAGCCAAGGGCATTTTTATGGCAGTGAAACCATTCTGTATGATACTGTGATGACAGTGGACACGTGACATTATGTATTTGTCAAAACTACAAGGCTGGAAAACACTAAGAGTGAACCCTAATGTAAACTATGAACTCAAGTTAACGTGTCAAGATTAGATCATCAACTGTAACAAATGTACCACAGGAATGCAAGATATCGATAAGGCGACAAACGGTGCGTAGGGGAAACAGGAAGGCATGTAGGAACTCTCTGTACTTTCTGCATAATTTTTCCATAAATTTGAAACTACTGTAAAAAACAAAGTTTACAAAAAAAAAAGTAGTAGTAGTATGACCCCCACCCACTGCGATGGAGGACAACTATGACCCTGTATTTGTGGGTAATCATTCACATGGGTGAAGCTCCAGAAGGGGACCAACAGCTGTCAAAGGGTTTCCCTGGGAGGGCACGGGGCCCACAAGCAGGCCACCTCTTGAGGACGACGGGCACAGCAGTGGCGGGGTTCTTCTTGAGGCTTTCGATGATCTCGGGGGCCTTGTCACCATAGATGCGATAGATGGCACGCCTCTGGATGACCTCGGAGGCTCCACCCAGGCAGTCGTCCAGGCGGAACTTATCCTGGTCCTCCGGAGCCATGCGTGACAGTTTCTTCTGCACGCTCTCCAGCACACGGATCGTGGCCAGGTTAGTCTCCAGGACGACGTCCAACTGTTGGTGGGAAAGGTCAACTGTGCAGGGGCAAGGGGCCCTAGGGTAGGATGCAGGGGAAGAGTGGACCCTACAGCCTTGAGGGCGCCCTGGGGGCATGTGGAGTGGGCATGGGGGTGTGTTCTACAGTGGGAGGGGCAGACCCTGGCTGTGACACCACACTGGGGGAAGGCAGAGGTACCCAGAGACTCTCAGGACCCCACACAGTGCCACGAGCCCTGCTAACTTCCAAGCGGGCACCCAGCACAGCACCGACAGGAAGGCCCTAGGCCTGACACTGCTCTGTGCATCCGAAGCACTGCCACAGGCAGCAGTGGACAGGAGCTGAGGGGGAATGTCAGTCCCCAGAGCCACACGCTGTGATTCCTTTTAGTGGACGATCCCCTTGAAAGGACAAAGATGTGGAGACGGAAGACGCTTAGAGGCTGATCTGGGCTGGATGGGGTGGGTATAAAAGGGAACAGGAGGGGTCCTCACGGAGCTGGAGCTGCTCAGAATCCTGACTGTGGTGATGGACATGAACCATCACATGCAATAAAACTACACAGAACCACACACACCCCGACACATGAACGAATGTACTCATACATGCACTCATATGCACACTTATCCCACGTACTCGAACACATGGATGTGCACTCACACACATATATTCACATTTACACAGCCCATAATCACACTCTCATATACACAACACATATTCACACTCATATCCAAACATTCATGCTCACATCCACACATGCTCACATCCACACATGCTCACATCCACACTCATAAATGTGTAACTCATGCATACACACTCACAACACATCACACACACAAATACACACATGCACACACTTTCATACACATGCTTATAAAAATGAGTACAAGTAAAATAGGAAATCTTAATCAGATAAGCTGACTGTCGAAACATCAGGATCCTGGCTGTGACTTTGCGCTAGTTTGGTGAGATGTTCCCACTGGGAGAAACTGGGTGAGGGGTGTTTTTTATAGCTGCATAGGAATCTAGAATGATCTCAGCTAAGATTTCAATTGCAAAGAGATGATGACAGGAGAAGGAAAAGAAAAAGCACAACAAAAGAGTCAGCCCAGGGGCCAGATGGGACCCGCAAAAGTGGGCCACTCGCAGGAGCTGCCCCAGTGGGAAGGCATCAAAATCTTAATCCACAGGAGGAGACTGGGGAAACCCAGGGGTTCTGGAGGTAGTCAAGACAAGGGGGAGGATGAGGAGCAGGGAAGGTGATGAGACAGCTGAGCATACCCTCACATGGACACACACACTCAGGAAGGTCCTCGTCTATCTGCAGCTCCCTGTAGCCCCCGCCCCGTCCCTCCCTGCGGCCCCAGGCTGTCCCATGCCAGCGCCCACACCTCGAAGCGCTCGTCCTCACAGCGGTGCAGCTGTTCCTCGTAGGGTGTCTTCTTGGAACTGACAAAAGTGGAGTCCTCAGACCAGGAGGGGAAGGAGACCCAGGTATCATTCAGCACCTGTGCAGGGAAGATGCGTGAGCAGTCAACCGGCCCCAGCTGCCAACCCATCTACAGTCTATTTCATTGTAGGAGACACCAAGACAAGGGCATCTTGGTTTTATGGGGAAATGCTTCATCATACTTCAGTAAAACTAGTTTTAACACTACAGTGGCCAAATAAGCACATTTAGTATTTCAGGAATCAGCAGACTTTCTCTGTAAAGGGCCGGATAGTATTTTACGCTTTGGGGGCCTGAGGGGCTGTCCTAGCTACTCAACTCTGCCTTGATAGGTGGAAAGCAGCTGTAGGTAATTCATAAATGGGGGTGGCTGTGTGCCAATAAAACTTTATCTACAAAAGCAGGTGGCCACCATGATGTGGTCCTTGGGCTGTGCTCTGCAGACCCCTGGAGCACATCTAGAAGTCAGCAGGCAGCCTTGAACTCTGCAAATGCAGTCAAAAGTATGCTTAAACCAGCTGCCTACAAGTCAACCCTGACCTCTGGTAACCCTACGCACAACAGAGTGAAACACTGCCAGGTCCTGCACCCTCCCCATGATCGACCGTGGATCAGACCATTGTGACCCACAGTGTTCTCAGTGGCTGGCTTTTGGAAGTCAACTGTCAGGCCTTTCTTCCTGGTCTTAGTCTGGAAGCTCTGCTGAAACCTATTCAGCCTCATAGCAACACTCCAGCCTCCACTGACAAATGGGTAGTGGCTACATATAAGGTACATCACCCGGGAATTGAACCCGGGTCTCCAGTGTGCAAAGTGAGAAGTCTACCACTGAGCCAGACTGTCCCCCTCATAGCCTGTCTGTGGTTACGTGGAGTTAAGTTGATTTTGACTCACAGTGACCCTGTGTGTTACACAGAAGAACTGCTCCACAATTTTCTAGGCTGTCATCTTTAAGGGAGCAGACTGCCAGGCTTTTCTGCTGGGGAGCCACTGGGTGGGTTCGAACTATCCTTTGTGTTAGCAGCTGAATGCTTAACCGCTGAAACACCGGTGTTCCCTCAGGGTCCATCTCCTAACCCTGGAAAAAGCTGCCACTGGTGAAGCTAAGTACACACATACTGAGGGCAGTGAGTGCTGGACTGAGTGGCTCTGGCAACAATCAATCCCACTCTGTGTCCTGCGCTCACCAAGACAACCAGCAGGAGAAAGCCACCACCTCTGCCCAGGTGGTCTATCTGCCATGTTCCACCGCTGCCCACCAGTTAGCAGGCTGGGTGCCCGGCACAAAATCTTTTATCCCTGGAATAGGGCAATAGATGCAGAGGTTTTTTCTTTTCTCGATGGTGGAGGGGAATGTAACATACAAGCCAACTTTAAACCCAAGGGGCATTTTATCCTGTGGCTGGTTTGAGTGGACTGTGGCAGAAGGGCACTCTATCCCCTGGGAGCACAATCTCCTTGCAGATGGCCATCCCCCTCTGGGAGCACTGTCTCCATGTAGATGGCCACCCCCCCCACAGAGCACCCCCTCATTGCAGATGGCCATCCTCCCCTCCAGGAGCACTTCCTCTTTATAGATGGCTGTCCCCCCACCTCCAGGAGCACTTCCTCTTTGTAGATGGCAGCCCCCACCCCCTGGAGCACTACCTCCTTGCAGATGGCTGTCCTCCCACTGCACTTGGGCTGCTGGTAGGTCTTGGGTAGTGCCCGATAGCTGGACCCGATGCGCTTGCAAGATGCGTAGTCAATCTCCCGGCTGATCCCATCTCCAGACCGGTCGCTCAACGGTGGGGCAAATGACAGCTCCTTCACCCCCAGGAAAGACTTGAACTGGGCAAAGAGTTCTGGAAACTTCCTTCAAAGACAAGGATCAGCAGCAAGTCAGCACCTCAGGGCCTCTGAAGGGAGACTTCAGAGTGGCTTCTGGGTCATTAGTGGTCAGAATTCAGCATTGGAGGGGACGTGGGCACGTAAGCTGCCCGTCCCGTGTTCCTAGTCAGGCTTCTTCCTGCACTGCCATTCCTGTCACTTGCAGAAAGGGCTTTAAACACATCATAAGGCTGAGCTAACCTAGCAGCAAGGGGTACCACGTGGTTTAAAATCAGGAAGGGTGTGTATCAGAGTTTTATCCTTTATTCATACTTATTGCATGCTGAACAAATGATCAGAAGAGACTGGACTATATGAAGAACGCGGCATCAGGACTGGAAGAAGACCGATTAACAATCTGCAATATGCAGACGATATAACATTGCTTGCTGAAAGTGAAGAGGACTTGAATCACTTACTGACAGAGGTCAAAAACTACAGTCTTCAGTATGGATTACAGCTCAACATGCACAAAACAAAAATCTTCACAAGTGGACCAATAAGCAAAATCATGATTAAATGGAGAAAAGACTGACGTTGTCAGAGATTTCATTTTACTTGGATCCACAAACGACACCCATGGAAGCAGCAGTCAAGAAATCAGATGTCATACTGCACTGGGTAAATCTGCTGCAAGAGACCTCTTGTAAGTGTTAAGAAGCAAAGATGTTACTTTGAAGACCAAGGTGTGCCTAACCCATGCCACGGTATTTTTAATTGCCTCATCTGTCCTGGAAGAAGTGCAGCCAGAATGCTCCTTAGAAGCGAGAATGGTCAGACTTTGTTTCACCAACTTTGGTTGTGTTGTCAGAAGGGACCAGCCCCTAGAGGAGAGTATCATGCTTGGTAAAGTGGAGGGTCAGCAATCAGGGGAAGACCCTCAGCCAGATGGACTGACACAGCGGCTGCAATGATGGTGTAAAACAGCCTCCCAAGGACTATGAGGACGGCACAGGGCTGGGCAGTGTTTCATTCTGTTGTCGTACACCGGATCACCATGAGTCGGGGCCGACCCGATGACCCTAACAATACCCTTGCAGAAGTCAGGGCTCCAGAGGAGCCTGGGGTCAGCTAGTGGCCTTCCTGGAGTGGAAGGGGCCAGGCAAGAGGCCAGGGGGTTGGCACATTATGGCCTAGGTGCCAAACCTAGCTTGTAAACAAGTTTTATCAGCACAAAGCTGTCCTCATTTATGTACAAATTACCTACAACTACTTTCACATGACAAGGCAGAGTCAAGTGGTTGCAACAGAGACCAAGCGGCCCCCCCCCCCCAAACCGAAGCTATTTGCTGTCTGGCCCTCCAAACATGAAGCTTGCTGCCCCTTGCTCTAGAGTCTCCCCAGCCTCATGAGGGAGCCTCCATGGAAATGCCTACAGAAAAACTCTCATGGGTCAAAAATGTAGCTAACATGAATGCCAATGGAGACACCTAATCCATCTGACCCTAGGGTAATGGGATTTACGGTTAAGTATCAAGCCCTCCGGGAGAAGGTGCAGCTCCTTTGGCAGTCATGCAGTTCCTGCCGTGACCCAGCAAAGTGTCTCCCTAAACCACTGCATTCTCTGAGACATGGCCGCCCTGTGCCCCACCTCAGAGGGCCCATGAGCCCACACTGTGCACGAAAGGGATTAAAGTGGCCAATGACACATGTGGAGGACAACTTAGAGTGTCCAAGGATAAATGCAGAACATGGCTCCTCTGTGGCCACTCGATACAGAATGCCCCATTCCAGCATGACATCACCTGGTGGCAGTGCTCTGGCCACTGCACTCTGCTGCCTGTGGGGTGAGCACATCAGGCTCAAGCTTGCAAATGCAGGAGAGGACCGCTGAGGTGACCACTGCCGAGCCAGGAGCATCACCTCAGAAGAGCCAGGAGGGGCCTCCTAATGGCTGCACCCTGCCCCACACCCCCTCTCCCACAATCTTCTTGCTTCCCATCTGCTCGATGCTTCTCAGGGAATGTTCTTCCCTCTTCTTCCCCGCATGGTGCAAATGATTAAGCACTCAGCTGCTAACAGAAAGGTTAGAGGTTTGAGTCAACCCAATGGTGCCTCTGAAAACAGGCCTGGCTATCTGCTTCTGAAAGGTCCTGAAAACCATACGGAGCACAGTTCTACTGTCTGCTTTGGGGAAAGTTCTCGTGGCATCCCTCTTCCCCTTTATTTGCGCTCACTCGTCTCTTTGTCTGTACTGTTCCTCATATCACTCAGAAGTGAGTAGGTTTAGGATCCACCCACACCAATCTGACCTCAGATCATAACAAAGACAACCCTATTTCCACATGGGACCACATCCACAGGTACAGAGGTTAGGATTCCAACATATATTTGGGGGGGCACAATTTAATCCTTAACACTGTCATTGGAAGGATAAACTGATGCAGGGGGAGGTTCCTGGAGGTCACATATACAGTGGGTTACCCCAGCACAGCCTAGGTGTTGTGGGAACCACCTGAGCCCACCTGGGACCCTGCTTCCACCAGCAAATCAAGCCTCGGTTTCCTCCTTTTAAAATGGCCATAACTACCTTCTGGGCCTGTCAGGGATTGAAGGAGAAGACCAACTGCCATCAAGTGATTCCATCTCACGGTGACGCATGTGGGTCAGGAGTTTTTTTTTAAATTGTTGTTTCTGAGAACACGCATGTAGGGTTTTCAATAGCTGAAGTTTTCGAAGTAGACTGCCAAGACTTGAGAGGGGCTTGGTCTTTCTACTGAGGGACCTCTGAATTTCCAACCTTCCAGTTACAGCCAAGCGTGTAAACTGTATGTGCCGCCCACGGACTCCAACACCGACTGTAGGTGTCACCGCTGGGGAGGCTGCGGAAAGGCCCTTCCTGTCATTCCTTACAACTGCATGTGAATCTATAATGATCTCAATACAAATTTCAATTAAAAAACAAACCCCAAAACAGCGTATCACCTCTTCAAAAAGAAAACTTCAGGCCCAACAGGAGGGGGCAAGCTCATGGGGGCGGGTTCACAGTGGTGGGCCAGGTGGGACTGGGAGCGGGGAAGTGGTCGCTCACCCCAGGAATGGGCTGACCAGCTGCAGGAGCTCAGAGCCGGACACCAGCTCCTGGTTGAAGAGTGCAATGCAGCGGAGGAAGTTCTCATAGACCTCCTGGCTCTTCAGCACCCGGCGTACCTGTGAGGAAAGTGCATCACAGGGTCCTGCCCCATCTAGCCCCTTCATGGCTAAGATGTCACCCATGGTGCCCACTGCCCACCTGTCATCAAGGTGACCAGCTGTGGTCCAAGGGCTAATACTGTAGGTGAGGCATGAGGCAGTCTATAAGGTACGCACATGAGCCATCCTCCTTGCCTGCTGTGTGGTTTGGGTGTGACCCTGTGTGTACCTTCCTAGCACCTGCCCACTGCTCTATGTCACCAGCTATGGTCTTCAGGCAACTACAATGCGTGCTCTTTGTCCTGCCCAGTGACCCTGGGCACCATCCCCACTTGAGAAAGTGGGGCAAAGGCCTGCACACTATAGGGGCAGATGTGTTCCCAACCCCCCTTGGGTCTACTCGGGTTCATGTTTCCTTTCTCACGTACTCCTCTGTCTCTGTCCACCCCATATCCCTAAGTCACCGCTGGAGCACCTCTTTCTACACTGCATGTGCCTCTCCTGTAGCCACTGTGAGGCCAGTCTGAGCCACCAGCTTAGCTGGCCAATCAAGCCTCCCCCAGGATGGATACCATAGCCACACTCCCTCACCTTGTCAAAGAAGGAGAACTCCTGCAGGGTGCCATACTTGCCCACGGCTGCAATAGACAGGTCTTTGGTCCCACGGAGCTTCATCTTCTTCTGCAGAGAGAGAGTGAGTGTTAACGTTCTGCTTGCCTGGGTGGCCCACTGTCTACCTCTGATCCAGTAACAGGGATAGCAAGCAACCTATACTCTCCTGGCAAGAGAACGAGGACCATGTAAATGACAGGCAGGACCCTGAGGCAGTCTGGGACCCACAGGTGGCACAGTCTCAGGAGGACAGTCATTCTAGGACCACCATGTACTGCAGGGTATTGTCGTCCCCCAACTCCCACACTGGGAAGGTCAAGGGCCACCACAACTGCACGCTGCTCCCTCTCAATAGCCCCCATGAAGGTCAGTCAGGTACCCAGCTGGTGCTCACCCAGCCCCTCTCAAATCCTTCACCCTTCAGGGAGGTGGGAACAGGGCTGGGGGAGAGGCTGGTGCTGTCCCTAAAGCAGGAGCCCCTGGGCCTAGCTGCAGCCCAGGGCCAGGTGCTCAGACACTTGGAACTCAGAGCCCTCTGGTCACTATGACATGTGTCCCTGATTAGCAGATAAACTGCCTCAATTTTGTCAACCCTCTGGGCATGGGGGCCCCACCCAGAGAACCAGAGTGAGCCTGTCGTGGTGGGGCTGTGTACCCTGTGTGTTGGCTGATCAGCATAACTGTACTCTGTGGCCCTGCCAGGATTCATGACAGCTAATGGGAAAAACCAGGGGATACGTATGTCTCTTCTAACCCCTCCTCCCTGAAGGCACAATCTCATGAGACAGGGTGGCGAGCAGCCACCACAGGCCATTGATTTCCAGGATTACTCAGCTGGGGAATTTGGGGCCAGACCAGACCCTGGGTCCCACCCTGGGCTTGCTGCTCTAGTTGGGGCCTCTACTTTCCCCTGCCACATGGGTCCCTGGGCTAGTGACACTAGGCTGGGTGGCAGGGGTCTGCAGCAGGTAGGCATCTGTGCACGGCTGATGCCTACCTTGGCTGGCCCAGACACCGGGCGGAGTAGTGAGGGCCGGGTGCGCTTCTTACTGTGTTCTGGAATCTTCTCGGGTTCACCCTTTGGGGTGCTGTTCATTCCACATGGGCCATTTCCTGTGAACTGAGCACAGACATGGGTCAGCGGACTTGCTGGGCCTGAGAACTGGTCTTGGCATATCTTAGCATGGGGAACAGCAGCTTGTGAGATGCCCACCGCAGGGGGCCCAGGCTCCCTGAGTCCCAGCACCAGGGCACTAGGAGGAAACAGTGGACGGAAGAGGTTCTGACGGACATAGGATAGAGGGGGCAGCCAGAGAACTCAGGTGGGCAGGGCCTCACCCATGACCAAAAAAACCACAAACCCATCACCAGAGTCAACCCTGACTCACGGTGACCCCGTGTGCAGAGTGGAACTGTGCTGCACAGGGTTTCCAGCGGCTGATTTTTCAGAAGCCAAACGCCAGGCCTTTCTTCTGAGGGGCCTCTGGTGGAGGAACCTCCAGCATGTGTGAGAGCCCTTGGTGTAAGTGGCCACAGATGCAGAAACCAGGATGCCGGCCCTCAGCATCAACAGAGGGTCTGGGTGGGAGGCACAGCCTCTCTGCTCTGCCTCGGCAGCTGCTGGGCCAAGCAGGGTGGCACAGAGGAAGAGGCTGGCTGAGAGGGCAGGACTTCGAAAGGGCATTACTTGGGGGCCAGGGGTCAAAACAGAACACATGGGATCCTGAGCTTCAGGAAGGTAACAGGATGAGCTAAGGCTCAAAGGACCAGTGAAGGAGGCCCTGAGGGATGGGGCTTGGCTCAGTACAGACACCTGTGGACAGGTGACACCCACCACTGGAGGGGCTGGAGGAGACCCAAGAGGGAACAGTTCACCTGGGGCCCAGGGTGGCCCTGCCCCCACTGAAGCAGCCATTCGAGGGCAGGGGTTGAGAAACCAACCCCCGGACCTGTGCCTACATCTTCCACCCTGCAGCTGCTGCCCTCTCTGGGGCACTACACCTGGGCCTGGCACCCCCAGAAAGAGGAGACGTGGTTCTAGCCCCTGCTGTGCCTGAGGCAAGATGAGAGACTATGGCTGGGCAGGGGTTTGCAGGGCTCTGCCCAGGCTGCATGGATGCCCAAGGCTCTAGTGGGCTGGATGAGTTCCTGAACTCCAGGACCCAGGCCTATGATAAGCACAGAGTCTCTGGCTTTTGGTTCAGAGCTGTTTCTGGGGGAGTTCCGCCTTGGGGGTACCTAGGTAACACACAGGGATGGACCCCCCATGGGATGACACCTGAGGCTAAAGCCTGGATGGGCTGGAAAGGCTTAAGGCCAAGTAGGGAAGGGTTTACGGAGGGAGAAACCCAATGACATTGTTAGGACTGAATTGTGCCCACCAAAATACGTTGTGAATCCTAGCCCTATACATGTGGATATAATCTCATTTGCAAATAGGTTTTCTTGTTATGTTAATGACATGGTATTAGTGTAGTGTAGGGCCTGTCTTGACTTAATTTCTTTTAAGCTAAAAAAGGAGCACATTAAGCAAGGAAAAAAAGTAAAGATGGGAAAAGAGAGACGTCAAACCACATGAACATCACCTAGGAGCAGAAGCTCAAGAGCCAAGGATCTTCCTACAGAGCCGACGGAGAGCATTCTCCCAAAGCTGGCACCCTGAACTTGGACTTCTAGGCTCCTGAACTGTAAGACTATAAATTTTGGTTTGCTAAAGCCACCCATTTGTGGTATTTCAGTTATAGGGTACTAGATAACTAAGACACACACCCACTTTTATCCATTCATCTAAACAAAAGTTCTAATGACCCCCCCCGTACTCAGACCCTCTCTCATACCACTCTCCCAGAAGCCTCATCTACCACGATATGGTCACCCAGAAGCAGCACTGGGAAAGGCACTGGCAAGGAAGGAAGTGGGGGGAGTTCCTGTGTGCCCACACTGGAGGCTGCCACCAGGACAAAGAGAAAGAAGGAAAAGAGGAACAGAACAACTCAGAAAACATGGACCAGAAGGAAAACTCTTCAACCAGATAAAGGGTGTTTATAGAACTGGCAAAGAAACCGAAGTTGTCAAGGATTTCATTCTACTTGGATGAACAATCAATGCCCATGGAGGCAGCAGTCAAGAAATCAAATGATGCATTACACTGGGAACATCTGTCGCAAAAAAACTTTTAAAGTGGTTAAAAAGCAAAGATGTCCCACTTTCACGACTAAGGTGCATGTGACCTCAAGCCATGTTTTTTTAATTGCCTCTTAAGACAAAAGCTGGACAATTAAAAAGGAAGACAGAAGCATTACTGCCTTTGAACTGTGTTGCTGGCCAGGATTACGGAATACTGCCAGCAGGATGAACACATCAGTCTTGGAGAAGGTACAGCCAGAACGTTCCTAAGAAGAGAGGATGGCGAGATTTCGACTCCCTCACTTTGGACACATCATCAGGAAAGACCAATCACTGGACAAGGCCATCATAAGCAGACGGTCAGTGAAAACGAGGGGAATTCTCCACGAGACAGACTGACACAGTGGCCAGAGCAATGGACCCAAATACGCCAACAACCATGAGGATGCCACAGGACTGGGTAATGTTTCCTTTTATTATACATACGGTCAACCATGAGTCAGAGCCAACACGATGGCAACTAACAATGGAAAATCCACAGCTGACATCACACTCCATGGAGCAAGACCGAGAGCATTCACCCTAAAATCAGAAGCACGATGGGGCGGTCCACTCTCATCACGGCTACTCAATATCATTCTGGAAGTTCGAGCCAGCAGTTAGAAAGAAGAAGATATAAAACACATCCAAATTTGAAAGGAAGAAGTAAAACTATCTGCAGAAGACATAACCTCGTATTTAGAAAGTCCTGAAGAATCTACCAAAAAACCATGAGTGCTGACAAGCAAATTCATTAAAATGGCAGGGTAGAAGATCAAAACACAAGTATCCGTTGGTTTTCTATATACACTTGCAATGAATAATCCAAAGAAGGAAATTAAGAAAACAATTCCTTTTACAATCCAAAACCAAACTCACTGCCATGGAGTCAGATCTGACTCACAGAGACCCCTCCTTGGGTTTCCAAGGCAGTATCACTACAGAAGTAGATTGCCCAATCTTCCTTCCGAGAAGTGGCTGGTGGGTTTGAACCACCAGCCTTCTGGTTAGCAGTCAAGTGCCTTAGGCACTACATTACCAGAGACAAAATAAAATACTTTGGAATAAATTTAACCAAGAATTGTACATTGAAAAAGTCAAAATATTGCTGAAAGAAGTTAAAGACCTAAATAAACCGAAAAACACCCATGGATTGAAGATCCAAAGTGATCTACAGATTCAATACAATCCCTGTCAAAATTCCAACAGCTTATTCTGCAGAAATGGAAAAGCTGATCCTAAAACTCATATTGGAGTTTCAAGGGTCCTGGTCAGCCAAAACAATCCTTAAAGAGAAGAACAAGTGGGACTCATACTTCCCAATTTCAAAATGAACTACAAAGCTACAGTAATCAGTGTAATACTGGGCTAAAGACAGACAATGGAATAGAATCCACAGTCCTGAAAAAAAAACAGACATCTATGGTCAACTGATTTTCAACAAAGGGTCCAACTCCATTTAATGGTGTGTGAACAAATGGACTTCCACAGGCAAAAGGATGAAGTTGCAAATGGATCAAACCTAAATGTTAAAGCTAAACTATAAAACTCTTAGGAAAAAGCACAGGAATAAGTCTTCGTGACTTTAGATCAGACAATGGATTAAGATATACCACGAAAGCAGGGGCAACAAAAGAAAAACAAATTGGACTTTAGTAATATTAAAAATTTTTGTTCATCAAGACATTATCAAAAATGAAAGACAACCTATATATGGGAAAAAACATTTGCAAATCATGTATTGTGATTGCTGGTGTGCCATCAAGTTGATTCCAACCCACAGTGACACTGTAAGACAGAGAACTGCCCCAAACGGTTTTCTAGGCTATGACCTTCACGGGAGCAGGTCTTTGTAGGTCTTTATTCCAATGGAGCCCTGGGGTTCAAACTTTTCAAGCAGACAAAAACAAGTACTTAACTATTATGACACCAGGGCTCCTTGATAAACGTCTAGCATCCATACTATATAAAGAAGTTTTATATCTTAATAACAAAAAGACAAACAACCCAAACACAATTAAAAAATGGGCAAAAGATTTGAACAGACATTTCTCTAAAAAAGATACACATGAAAAGATACTCATCATCATTGTTGCTGCTGTTATGTGCTGTCAAGTCGGACCTGACTCAAAGCAACCCCTCCTTGGGTTTCTGAGGCAGTATCACTATGGAAGTAGATTGCCCCATCTTCTTTCCGAGGAGTGGCTGGCGGCTTTGAACCGCCAGCCTTCTGGTTAGCAGTCAAGTGCTTTAGGCACTACGCTACCAGAGCTCCCTCATCATTGTTGTTGTTGTTGTTATGTGCCGTCGAGTCAGCCCTGACTCATAGCGACCCCTCCTTGGGTTTCCGAGGCAGTATCACTACGGAAGTAGGATTGCCCAACCTTCCTTCCGAGGAGTGGCTGGTGGGTTTGAACCGCCAGCCTTCTGGTTAGCAGTCAAGTGCCTTAGCCACTATGCTACCAGAGCTCCCTCATCATTAGGGAAATGCAAATCAAAACCATAATGAGGTATCATTTCATACCTACTGAGATGGCTGTAATAATAAAAATGGAAAATGACAAGTGTTGGTAAAATCATGGAGAAACTGGAACCCTTACTCATTGCTGGTGGTAATGTAAAATGGCATAGTCACTGTGGAAAACAATTTGGCAGTTCTTCAAAAAGCTGAACGTACAACTACTATGTTGTTGTTATGTGCCGTCGAGTCGGACCCAACTCAGAGACCCCTCCTTGGATTTCCAAGGCAGTATCACTACGGAAGTAGAGTGCCCCATCTTCCTTCTGAGGAGTGGCTGGTAGGTTTGAACTGCTAGCCTTCTGATTAGCAGTCAAGTGCCTTAGGCACTATGCTACCAGAGCTCCATATGATCCAGCAATTCCGCTCCTAGGTATATCTCCAAAGAACTGAAAGCAAAGACTGAAACAGGTATTTGCACAATAGTGTTCATAGCAACATTATTCCCAACGGCCAAAAGGTGGAAATAGCCCAAGTGTCCACCAACAGATGAACAAACAAAATGTAGTATATATAAGCAATGAAATGCTACTCTGTCATAAAAAAGAATGAAATACTATGTAGTGCCTGGGATATTACAAACTTGTAAGTGGCCATCTGAAGCACTACGATTCACCTGGAGCAAGAGAGGAAGGAGGAGAGACAGGAATTGGAGGAGGATATGGAATATGTGAACAAGGAAGACCAAAGAAGAGTTGATGCTTTTGAGTTGTGGTACTGGCGAAGAACACTGAAAGGACCATGGATTGCCAGAACGAACGGATCTGTCCTAGAAGAAGTGCAGCTGGAATGCTCCTTGAAAGCAAGAATGGCCAGACTTCATCTTACCTACTTTTGCTGTGTTATCAAAAGGGACTATTCCCTGGAGAAGGATATCACGCTTGGTAAAGTAAAGGGTCAATGAAAAAGTGCAAGACCCTTGACAAGATGGACTGACACAGTGGCTGCAGCGATGGGCTCAGGTGTTCACAGGTAGCCTTAGAGCGGGAACAACCCAGTCCCAGGGTCTCCATGAAGAGACACTCCCATGTCCCAAGGCACTAGGAGGCTCCTGAGCCTCCCCCATGCCCCAGGCTTGATCTGGACAGAGGGGCACTGGGACCCTGTGAGAAAAGGGCCACGGGTCTGCAACCCTGAAGTGTCAGAGGGGAGATCCAGTGTGTTCACATGGGCACCAAGCCTGGCCCAGCCTCCCTGCTGAGAGCTGGTCACCACAAGAGACATCTGGCCTGTAGGATGGACGTTAGTCATACTCACCAGGGACCGCTTTGCCTCAGGCAAGAACTGGCCAAACTCAGAAAGCAGGTCCTCCTGGCCCCGGAAGAGATTAGCCACCTCGGTGAAGACCTCCTCCTCGGACATGCCACGGAATGGCCGGCCCTTTGTGCTCAGCTGTTCCTTCTGCCAACCAGTGGGAAAAAGAGTAAGTTAGCTCAGGACCCAGGTACTGACCGTGACGCCAAAACCTACCTTAGAGGGGGCTAAGGGACAATTCATAGAACACAGAAGCTTCAAGCAGATGGTCACCCACCACGGTCCTGCCCACTGCCCACTGCCCACCAACTCCATGGAGTGCCCAGGCCTAGGCCCTCACTATGGGGCATAATATTGGATCTTGCTAGATTCTGCTCCCCAACACCTGTCCCAGGGAGCAGAGGGAACCTGGCCCCGCCCTGCAGTGCTCATGAACACAGGGAGTGGGAAGGATGGGACCACTGGAACAGGCTGTGCAAGGCCAAGTACAAGGTCGGGGGGTGGGGACCAGGCCCTGGGATCCCAGGGTGGTAGCATGTTCTACCTGTGGGGGGCATGGAGGTGTTAGTGGGTCTGGGGGAGAAGAGGAGGACAGCACCTCCAGACCACATCACCAAGACCCCAGAACTGAAGGAAGATTTTGGCCCAAGCTGGAGCATAAAATCTCAAAGGGGTGCGGGGGCAGGAACCATCGAGCAGAACTTAAGTCAGCCACTGAAACTGTCTGAGTCAGTGTTATACCCAAACATGTGACAGAGCAAGAGGTGGCAGTGCCAGGGTCCTCCCAGTTCCTTTTTTCACACTCCTCGGCCACCAAGTGAAATCTTCAACCCACAGACATTGAAGAATGCAGATCTCTTGGCATCCCCTACCGCCTGCACAGTACAGCAGCAGGAAACGCATGCTACTTTTTAAGGACTAACACAACTAACACTTACTTAGGAGAGAAGAGATCAGTTTTCCCCAAAGAGTTACTGGTATACTTGAAGGCCAAAGAAAAAAAGCAAAACCCTCCATTCAGAGACTACAAATGATCTATAGGTGCAGCTGAGTTGATCCTGACTCATGGCAACCTATGTGTGAAGCGTAAACTGTGCTCCATAGGGTTTGCAACCGTTGATTTTTTGGAAGTAGATCACCAGGCCTTTCTTCCAAGCTACTTCTGGGTGGATTCCAACCTCCAAACTTATGGTTAGTAACCAAGCCATTAAATAGACAACAAGAAGGTACACTCAGTAGTGCTGTTTTTAGGAGCTATACCTGCCCTCATCTAGGCTTACGATGTTTTAGCAGGCATTTAAGTGCTAATCAGAAGGCTGGAGGTTCAAACCCACCAGCTGCTACATTGGAAGGAAGATGGAGCAATCTACTTCCGTGAAGATTTACCACCTCGAAACCCGATGGGGGTCACCATGAGTCAGAACTGACTCAATGGCAGTGAATTTGGGGGAAGTGGTAGGTCAATGGTAGAATTCTCACCTTCCACGCAGAAGACTGAGGTATGACTTCCAGTCAACGCACTTTATGCACAGCTACCACCCGTCTGCCAGTGGAGTCTGGTGTATTACTACAATGCTGAACAGGTTTCAGTGGAGCTTCTAGACTGAATCAGACTAGGAAAAAAGGCCTGGCAATGGACTTATGAAAATCAGCCACAGAACAACCAGATGGAGCACAACAGTCCGATCCACAGCCAACTGGGGGATCGCGCAGGGCTGGGCAGGCTTTCCATCTGCTGCATACAGGGTCACTAGGAACTGGGGACAATCTGAAGGCAGCTAATGTGTTTCCTAATCCTGCTTCCCATTACAGAGATGCCTTAAAGGGGCAGATTAAAATCAAAACAGAATTTCGCAAATCAAGACAAGAAAATCTTAACGTTTTCAGTGTACCTGGTATCAGAGGATGTCATAACACACATACAAAACTGCACCACAACACAACCTCCTACCTGGTAAGTGTGCAGTATTTCCAGAAACGACCGGTAGATCTCAGGATGGTCGAGGAAGCGGGTCTTGATCTTGTTCACATAGCTGATGGCGTTGTTGAACTCCACGGAATCCGATTCCAGGGGCACCTGGGGCTTGTCCTCCTTATACAGCACCTGCTGCTTGAAGTCATCCGTGTAGTCACTATGGTTATGGGAGTTCTCCTGGGAACAAAAAGACAAGTTACTGTTGGACCCAACACCATGGACAGATTTTTAAAACTACCAAACCAGGTTGGAAACCTCTCCTACCACCCTTACCTTAGGAGAGGTTTCCAACAGAGAGACAAACTTTTCTGTTGGTTTGTCCTACCGTGGTGACATGTTGATGTGAGTTTTGAGGCTGAGCCACTGTTGTTTCAAACCCAGCAGGATGCACTTGGTGCACAGGTATCAGGCCAGCTTACAGACTGAGACAGACTAGGAAGAAGGAAGAGGCCATCCACTTCTCAAAGAATTGGCTGGGGAAAACCTTATGAATAGCAAAGAAACA